TATGTTATGGATTATATGCCGTGAGGCAATCCTGCTTTGGTTGGTGGGTTCCTCTGGACTCATCTGAAGGCACCAATCTGCTACAATTTGACCAATTTTATCCATGTATCAAATAGTTCAGTCTCGCTCTTTGTAATTTACCACATAACATTTTATATGACAGATTATCCTTGCTCAAACTGCTGACAAAGCGTTTTTAAGAGGGGCTCCAGAGCAGGCTCCTGTAGCTGTTCAGGGATACCCGGTTCGGATGCTGTTCCTGTCTACTAGCATGGAAGGTCACTTTTGATAGCCAGGAGGTTCTATGTTCTCTGAAGAAGAAACCTTTCTGCAACAATTTTCTTCTCATAGAGATCACATGAGATGGGACATGTCTCTGAAAGATGTGCTTTGGTCAATAGTGGTCCCTTCTCTCCCCCTCTCCCCACTCTCTCTACCATTCCATATACAGTTTAAGAGAACTATACAGGAGAATCAGTACAGCTTAATATAGGTTTACATCTGTCCTATAACGAAAAAAGGGAGGGAAATTCATCTTTGACAATAACTTGAACCAATACACAAATAGAGTATTGCACATGGACATAATCATAATTATTCTTTCATAGGCTAATTTTAATAATATGCCTGAACATGCAGCAGTTGATACCTCTATATTCATTGAATTCCACAGGCCTTGCAATAAACATCTATATACAAATCCTCACTTGTACAGAGAGAGAGAGAGAGAGAGAGAGAGAGAGAGAGAGAGAGAGAGAGAGAGAGAGAGAGAGAGAGAGAGAGAGAGAGAGAGAGAGAGAGAAGAAAAGTTGGGAAAATGCTTTATGACTGCCACTCTATCTCCCATATCCAAAAGTCAGGCTCCATAGCCAATACGCTTTAAGCATAGACAATATGCTTTATTAATATTTTTTTCAGAGAAAAAGGTCATATATTATAAATGACAGGTATTAAATGACTAAGGAAGTGAGAAGAAAATTACAACCAATTCAAACATTTTATGTAATTTTTATAATAAAGTGTCTATGGGGCTTCACTTTTGGTACACCCTGTATGTAAGTGTGCATGTACGTTTGTGTGTATGTATATGAAAAATCCAAGTGCAACAAATAAAAAAGATTCCCTTAACTGCTCATTCAGTCTATATATATAGACTAATCTATACACACACACGTGTATATATATGTATATATACATATATATATATGAATGATACATATACAAGCACGCATGTCCACGCTCACATATACAAAAATGCAGTATTCCCAGAAATATGAGTAAATAACACTATTAGCATATCTACACGCGGTAACTTCACATTTCTTTCTTAATGTATTTTCCACATGAGTTACCAGTTTGTCATGATTACACAAGAAATCCATTTACAACCTTCAACAATGTCAGTTTTTGAATCTTGAACTTAGTCTCTCCCTCCTTTTTCGTTTCATGAATGGCTTTGCGTTGCGGTATTCCTATTGACCACAGTTATCACATCAGTTCTTTCAAAGCTTTTCACAACCAAACAGTAGTACTACTGGGCTGACCCACAGTACAGTAGTATGGCATTCCAGGATCTCCGTCTCCAACCCTCTGCTGTTGGCCAGGGTCCCTTTACATGGGGCCCCGGAAGAGGACAGAGGTAACTGGAGGTGAGCACTCAGCAAAGAGAAAGGGAGGACAGAGGCTATGTACAATGAAAGATGGGTCGTCCCATTTTTGCGTGTAAAAGCCTGCAAAAGTAACACACTGCTATTGAAATTAAAATTAAATAAGCAAAGCAGATAACCATTCAGGTTTAATACATAAAAAAGAGGCTCCCCCTCCTCCTTAAGTCCCCTTCACACCTGTCAATGCACCAGAGACATAAACAATTTAGGCACATGCTTTTAAACAGTTTTTACTATGGAAGGATTATCATGAATATGGCAAAGCAGCTGTAACAACTGTAGGAAACCTATGCTGCTTTACTAAAGCTAGTATAGGCTTTTGGAGAATTTGTCCATTCTTAGCCCTTTAAACATCTGTCTTTGTAGCATTTGTGTTAGTGATTTTTTTAAAAAAGAAATTAGTTATAATTTCTAAATAAAAACTCTTAAAAAGTCATGTATTCTTTAAAAAAATAGCTTTTCCTGAAATGTTTTCCATAGCATTTATTATTTTAATCACAATGCTTTCAGTCAAGACTATTTGTTTTTTCAAGACCCACCCTTGCAACAAAACACTTTTTAAAATATACGTTTTGGGGGGAGGTGGAAAATCGTTTTGCCCCATTCATGGCAGTATCACAGCATGGCTTGTTAATGTTTTAGCAAGCTGCTCTACTATAAGTATGGGTGAGACCCATAGAAAAGAGAGGAGTAGGATTTCTTCCTGTCAGTTACTTGCATTTCTAGGAAAAAAAAACAGTTGCAAGAAACAGATTTCAAGAAGAATATCATAGAGCTTCTAACTATCTTTTTGATGAGTGTTTGCTTAATAATAAGTTCCATCGTGTTTGAGGTTTACTTGTGGGTAAAAGTGGCACAGTTCAGCCTCACAATCATAATATGGAAGTCCTGCATAGCATACGATGGCTTTTTCATCCTAATGACACTCTCCTTCTAGGCTCCCATCAGAATTAAGAGGAAACAATCCCCAGCAATTGACTGTCTTATTCCTGGGCAGCCATCAACTCAGAAGCTTAGAGCAGCCCTTGCCTCACTAAACCCTGGTTCTGACTAGGGACAGTGCAACACCAAGAAGCAGCTAAAGGAACAGTTGGCCTCGGTGTATCCATCACCAGCATTTTCTCTGCAACTTTCCCATTTTCTCTGCATCTGATGCAGCTTAATTAACCCTGATAGAAGTCCATATATCATGGCAACCTCTGATTGCATGTGGAACACTGCCTTTTCCTTTGATCTGGTTGTGAAACAGATTAGGGCAGATAATCTTGTTCACATCTTTGAATTCTGAGAATTATCGATATGCTGCCATCTGTCGCTTCTAATAGCAAACAGAGCAGGAGTTTTTAATCGACCAAGGCAGTGTATTTTTTTTTTAATCCAAGTTCTGAAAAATTGTAGTGTATCAACATTTCAGTTACCTTTTCATTTAGCCCACCGAGGTTAAATGGATGAAAGCCAGTCTGAGTTCAACTGAGATCTCAGATGCATGATAAGCTACTGAACAGAAACTGTTTTCAGTTGCTTTTGTGGATTTCAGCCTCTACACAGTGGACTAAACTACTTATGTGTACTAGAACTAAGTGAGTTTCTAGCATTTCTTTCTTCACCAGGTAAAGAGCAAGCAGTGTGGCAACAATGCCTTGTGACAGCAATTAATGAAGGCGTACATGACATTATAGCTGGACCATCAATTAGGAGATATATTGACCTAGACAGATCTCAGCTCTCATATATTTAAAATGCTTGCCTTTCAAGGGTAAATGCTTCATTCAGTTTATTTTGAATATTGGAAACCTGGCATCTCCATTCTAAGCACATGAATTGGAAAGAAATGATTACGTTGGGTTGTATAAATTACTTGCATGATTAGCCCAAACGTGTAGAACTTTTAGCCTAGAGTTGGAGCCAGACAAACTTAAAAGGAACTGAATTTAAATTAGCTGAGGCAAGATGAAATCTGAATTATTTCAGTGAGTCTATATAGGGGGTTTGTTCCCCATCAGACTAAATAGAGTTGCTTACATCTACAGTAGAAACTACAATCCAAATTAGGACAACAGCAGGAGACAAAAATTTAAAGCCCCCCAACCCCCCCAATTTATTCTTGTTATGTTTTTCAAGCAACCTTGAGCCTAAAATTTTAAAATATGTAGTCATAAGAGTGGCGAGGTGCCTACCACTTAACTTATAGCAGCTGCTTTTTCCTCTTCAAATGGTTCCCAGAGGTTTTGCCTCTCCAGATAAGATTTAAAATCAGTGTTTATCTTCTAAGACATAGTTTTTCAATCCCAGCAACATTAAGATGATGTGGTCTTCAACTCCCAGAATTCCTCAGCCAGCATGCTGGCTGGGGAATTCTGAGAGTTGAAGTCTACACATTTTAAAGCCGCTGAGGTTGAAAAACACTCTTCTTTTTTGAGAAGATCACATTTTGAGGAGAAGATCACATTTGACAGATTAGGGGCATATTTCTCTTGCCTGACACTAAATGCAAAAACTTCAATTTCCTAAGATTGCATTCCATGCAACGTAACATGGAAAGAGCTGTCTATTGAGGAATTGAAGGTCACTCCAAATCTATCCATTTGAATGTTAAGGGTGCAAGCTCAACCATTCCTGTTGACAATCTATTGAAATCAATGACAAAAGAGTTTTATGTTAAATCTCTCATGCTTCATAAGGCCCCCGGGCAATCATCACAGAATGCAATGAGTTGATTCCAAGCTCAGTAAATCTTATGGCTTATTTATAGATTCATATCTGAGTTGAAAATAAGTCATAATGAAGTATTCCTCTCTCTCCATAATCATATAACACATATACTTATCCATTTAGCACAATGTGATGAGATACCTATTTATGGAATCTTGGAAAAAAGTTATCTAACTTTCAGTACATACTCTAGACCATAATTTTAATAATTAAAAATGAAGCTAAAATTCCTAGTGATTTTTAAATGTTAAAAATGGTTGAACAAATTACTTTTGACAGTGCTAGGTGATTTTAAAAAAGACAAAGCCTTACTGAAAATAAAAGAAAGTGTGAATAGAAAGAGAGAAGGAGAGAATGAGAGAGAGACAGCAGCAAAAAATAACAGCAATGTGTTACCTTTACAGTTTCTAATACAAAATATTTTGCATTGCTCTGTAAAACAGCTATTATGAGTGCCTCCAGATCAAAGAAATACAACAATAAATAGACAGTAGAAAGTAATGGGTTTAGGCTCATGGTCAGAGAAGCAGTTCTTGATGGTGTAGCTGGAGGATTTTTCAGAACACAACTTGCAGCATCTGTGATCTGGCGGTTCCAATTTAGGGGTTGGGGGGGAATATCTTATGGCAGCAGCTCTTCTCCAAAATATGAGAAGCCTTTAAATTCTTCTTGGTTGATTTGCTTTATAATTGTCTCATCCACCGCTGTTAATATTGGGTCTTCTCGTGTAAAGTCTTGATCAAAGTTATTTACATCCCTTTTGGTTTTCTGAGAAACAAAAGCAAAAGATGAAGAATGAGTGGTGTTCTTGCACCAACAATCAACTTTTTTTTCTGGGATTCGAAAAGAGTGATAGCGTGTTTGGCTTCTAAAGGAAGGCAGATTCATTTCATACACACAGATCTCTCTCTCTCCCTCTCTCTCTCTCTCTCTCTCTCTCTCTCTATCTCTCTCTCTCTCTCTCTCACACACACACACACACACACACACACACAAACACACCATACAGGAGAAGACGAGAAAAGAGGATGGACAAGTGAGGGTGCAGAAGCAAAGAATGGTCCTGGATAAGCCCAATAGCCTTTAACTGAGAAGTTGGAAACAAAATGATGGTATACCAGATAACGTAAAGTATACTATACTGTAATAATTTGGATAAATGAATCATGAATTCAGACAGATCTTGTCTGGAAATGGCATAATGGATTGATTACAAATATAGGGGTGAAGCATATGATCTGTATTTTTGATGATGAATCTAACATAAGGTAAGCAAAATCTCACAAATTCGCAGCTTTTGCATCTTTAGGATCTAGCAGTGATTGTTTTTCACAGATACAGAACTTTCACAACCAACCTGTGGAAGATCCAACATCTACAGTCCTAATATGCTAGTGCCAGTTCTGATTGTGATGGCAGCTATTATATATAGAAGTACATATTTATGCTATTGCTGCCGATATATACCTCATCCCAGCCAAGAGCAAAATCCCAGTTCTAACCTAAAAGGAAAAGAGATGGATAGCCCGTTTTCCAAATATCTTCTTCTTGTTACAGTCCCTTTGCTATACCTGAGAAAAGCTTGTTATAAAACCAGACCTCAATCATTAATTTACTGAGTTTAGAAAATATGACAGGTACCAGATAAATGTTTTACTCTGCTTTTACTCACATTCAGGCACATGCACCTTCTTCTCTTTGCTTATGAAGGCAAGCCATGGATTGTTTTCTGGAGTAGGCATGAGTCTGTGAAAGGGCCTAAGAAGTTATGGCTGGATCATTACAGATAGTCCTTGACTTATGACCACAATTGAGCCTAAAATCTCTGTTGTTGTGCAAAACAGTTGTTAAGTGAGTTTTGCCCCATTTTATGACCTCGCTATAGTTGACTTGCTTGTCAGAAGGTCGCAAAAGGTGATCACATGACCCTGGGACACTGCAACATCATAAATACATGCAAATTGCCAAGAATCCGAATTTTGATCATGTGGCCATGGGGATGCTGCAACGGTTGTAAGTGCAATGACCAGTTGTGAGTCACTTTTTTCAGTGCCATTGCAACTTTGAATGGTTACTAAACAAATAGTTCTAAGTCAAGGACTACTTTTATATAATGTCCACCTTTTGTCAACCACTAATCTCAAATGGTTTTCTATAATTACTGAAAGTAAAAAAGACAGAATTTGATTAAAGTTTCCCAAGCAAGAAGAAATCACAGAGTGTTTTCATTATAGTTCAGTAGAGAATTAAGCACAGAAATGTAATTAAAAAAAACTGGAGTGTGCAATGTTTCCAAGCAAATTCTTCCCACAGAAACTTTCTTGCAACTATTGGCATTAGGACCCCACTACCCCCCCCCCTCGCCTGGGTTGGAATTCTTCAACTGGGCTTTTTCAGTGGGTTTAAAGCGCTAGAGGGGGGGCGCCTCACACTGAATAGAGCTCTAGAGAACAGCCTGATCAAACATCAGTCATCCAGGTCATGGTTTCTCCCAAATGTGCTTTTTCAAGAGGCAACTGGACTTTCTTGTTTTTCTTTGAAGATATTTCACTTCTCATCCAAGAAGCTTCTTCAGCTCTGACTAGATGACCACCATCCAGTCAGAGCTGAAGAAGCTTCTTGGACGAGAAGCGAAATGACTTCAAAGAAAAACAAGAAAGTCCAGTTGCCTCTCGAAAAAGCACTTTTGGGATGCTATTCAAATGTTTTAAAATACAATTTCTTATCGAACAACTATGGGCACTTTGGTTAAAAATAGGGACGTTACCATTACAGTATTTATGTATATAATGTATATCCCATATTTTTTTATTGTTGAAAACCATTGCATGTTAACAGAAGCTACTTAAAGCAGACTGCCAACTTTTTAACTTGTTTTCTGCACTTTTTAGTAGCTGGTTGTCTTGCTGATATGAGCATGCATCTCGGTTGGGTTGCTTTCTGCCAGCCAAACTACTGTTAAAAGCATCTGACCAAGCCAAGAGTTTTCACAGTCAGTTGGCAGCTCTACTGCAAAACCAGTTAAGTCCTCAAATATAGACATGTTCTCTTAGCTTGGCTACTTCCTATTGCTGTTGAAGGACCGGTCAAAAGGGGACTGTTGCCTCTTAGCATCTGAAAATAAATGTTGATAAGGAAAGAAGTCTGAAAAAAAATTCAGTGTTCTACTGCTTTCAGCACTGAATTTGGAAAACCCAGAGGATTTTATTACCCCACTGCAAATTTCCAATTTTCCGTGTTCTTTCAGTCTTCTTAAAATCCAGATGAATGCACCATTTTCATAACTTTGAGAAAAACCGTGGTGCCGGAAGGTTAAGTAAGAACACGCTGTTCAAGCTCACAATTACAAGAGAGATTTGTGATGCATTCAGTGCAATCTTGCCTTTTCATATTCCTTGCCCTGTCCCATATTCGTAATTGATTGTCCTTAAGAACAACCAATCAACTTCAGCAAAGTTCTTTTTTCCTATCCTGTTTCAAATATTTTACATTTTTGTATTTTTGTTTTATAGCCATAGTGCAACTGCATAAACTAAAAAAAACCCCATGTATTAAGTCCTTTCACTGCCTTGAGGGAAGAGCATAGCTTCAATCCATACCCCAACACACTCTTTATTCAAGTTTGCACCTTGCTTTGGATTAATCCTCCCTTGAAAATGTTCTACTTATTTCTTATAAAAGTGCCCCCAGCCTCTGTCTGCAGATTCTGGGTTCAGAAAGCAGACAGAGGGTCCCACCTAGCTTTTGGTTTCAATAGAATAATCCTTGAATCTACTGGATATCTGGGCTTGTTTTGAGCTGTGACTACCAAAAAGCTGCAGTGATGATATCCATGGTTTTGAGGCCTTGGTCACTCTTTCTGAAACAACCTATAACCGTACCTCAGTGGTAAGACATTTCTTTATTGTGTGTTAAAAAGAGTAAGTGATCCCAGACTTGAGAACTAAAAAAGACTTATAAGCAAGAAACGAAGCAAGATTAATGATACATTCAAGGTGAGACAGGGAGTTATGGGGAAATCTAAAGCCAAGAGTTAAAAAAAAGAAAAAGAAAAAGAAAAATACTGTATAAAAAAGAGCTGCACCAGGTAACCAACATGAAAGTCTCACTTATTGGATTTGGAATATTTCTAGTAAATGAAGTCATTTAAAGAATTTTTTTTTTGCTGAAACCGACTCATTTATTTGCTGCTCATAATGGTTATTTTTTTAGAACTCTTTAAAACACTGTCAGTGACATTGTTGATAAAATTTTGTAAGATCAGACAAAATAGCACTATTCTGAACTACAAGGCTGAGATACATAATAATATACAAGCATATACAGAACAGATTTTGTTCTTTCTTTGGCAAAAAGAAGGAAATAACTCAAACACTATGAAGTGAGAAACTGAACATGGTGACAATGTGGAGTGGATACATGGAAAAGGTTAAGTATTTCTGCTGAACTGGCATACACAACCATCCTTCATAAAGTGATGTTCTAAGAAAAAAAAATGGGGCAGTCAAAAGCAAATGAGCTAACAATTCTTTCTCTGTATGAAATGTGCAAGAAATTAACTCTGGAGCTAACTTGCTCTCCTTGCCATTTATAATACTGCATTTTATAGAAGCATATTTAGTATAGCAATATCCATTTTTTTCTCCAAGGAGTTCAAGGAAACATAGTAGTGTAATAGCACTCATGCTTCTCAAGTACATTTGCTTGATTCAGGCAGAGAATTGCTCTGTTAAAATGAGGATTCACTGTTTTTCTTCTTTGAATTGAACTCAACTCTTGGTAACTTCAGGGACATATCCTTATAAGTCTTTCCTGCAACAAAATTGAGATAATTGCTGTTCTTGGATAGCATGGATTTTTTTTTAACTTCCCAGTCTAACCTACAGGCAAAGAATCTTCTAGTGATCTGTCCTGTGGGTTCTAACCACATAGCGCCTTCTTAGTATTTCAATAATAGCCAAGATTGGCTAGATGCTGCCATCTAGCTGGGCATGTCCATGCTTATTGTAAAATATGTATAACCCAAATGTTGTATTTCCTAGGCCCAGATCAGTTTTGAAGAAATGAGATCGTCATGCAAGCTGCACTGAGCTCCTAGAGGAAAAGTGTGATATATATCTAAGATATATATAAATAAAGAATTGAAAATGCTTCTGCCATTTGGGATTCACTGTTGGTTTTCTCTGGGAAAAGCATTAGCCCCACCAACACCTCTCCCCCTTCCATCTCTTATAAGCAGCGATGGGACACTTTCCATCCATAGCAAGAAGAGTTGATAGCAAGAGGTTGCGATGGAAGCAGATCTCTCAAGCATGAAAGAAGTAGAGGAAGGGATGGATAATGCTCACTTCTGCTAAATTAACCTGAATATCTCCCTCCTCCTCCTCCTCCTCCTCCTCCTTATGGGAATGCCAGTGTTTTGTAGATAGGTGGAGAGAAGGTGAAAGATTTTCTCTGAGATGAGGAAAAAAAATAAAAATAAATTCATACCTAGAATATTTTGAGTTTGTTTTAAGAAGCCTGCTGTGGTTCTTGTTCTCTTGGTTAAGCAGAATTTAAACAGATGATACTCATTGCCTTTCCATTTCATAATACATGAAAGGGAGTGGAGAATGCATTTTTTTATTCTCAGTTATAATAATTTCCCCTCTGCTCTGCCATCCCTACTGGATTCTATGAGGAGGAAGTGTCTGGTTTGAGCTTATGGCACATGGAATAGGATAAGCAACAGCAGCAGGCCTTGTTCTGGTTCTGTCAAATACTGCTAG